GCGGGTACTGGCAGATTGAGGTCGACGAACGAGATCGTGAGAAGACAGCCTTCGTCACGCCGGATGGACTGTATGAGTTTAAGGTAATGCCGTTCGGGCTGTGCACAGCGCCGGCAACCTTCCAGCGCGTTATGGACACCGTCCTTGCCGGCTTAAAATGGCAAAGCTGTCTCGTCTACCTCGACGATGTTGTGGTGTTCGCAAGCGAATTCGACGAGCACCTGAGACGACTGCGAGCCGTGCTACAGGCCTTCAAGGCTGCTGGGCTGACCCTCAAGCCTTCCAAGTGTCGGTTCGCCTATGGTGAGCTGAAATTCTTGGGCCACGTAGTGAGTGCGCAGGGTGTACGCCCTGATCCCGCAAAGACGTCCGCTGTCGCCGAGTTCCCGAAGCCATCAGACAAGAAGACCGTTCGAAGATTTCTTGGGCTGTGCGCCTATTACAGACGTTTCGTTCGTGACTTTGCACAAATTTCTGCACCGCTGACGCATCTGACGAGAGACGACGTGCAGTTCCAGTGGGGAGAGGAGCAAGAGCAAGCGTTCGGCGAACTCAAGCGAAGGCTCCAGTCGCCCCCTATCCTCGGACATTTTGACCAGTCGGCGGAGACTGAAATCCACACGGACGCCAGCAATACCGGTCTCGGTGCGGTACTCGTTCAGCGACAAGAAGGGGCAGAGAGAGTAATCGCTTACGCAAGCCGGGCGCTGTCTAAGGCAGAACAAAATTATTCAACGACCGACAAAGAATGTCTTGCTGTCGTCTGGGCGATAACCAAGTTCCGCCCGTACTTGTATGGGATCCCGTTTCGCGTGGTCACAGACCACCACGCCCTCTGCTGGCTCGCAAACCTCAAGGATCCGTCCGGACGCCTCGCCCGCTGGAGCCTTCGACTGCAGGAATTCGACGTAACCGTTGTGCATAAGTCCGGCCGGAAGCATAGTGACGCTGACTGTTTGTCTAGGGCTCCAGTCGAACCTCCAATCTCCGGCGCCGACGACGATGACGACTCCCTTTTTCTAGGTGCAGTTAACGCTACCGACATGAGGGCACTGCAACGCGACGACGCAGAACTTTGCTCCGTGATCGACCACCTCGAAGGTCGAGGAAGCTCTGTCCCACGGGTCTTTTCTCGGGACCTACCGAGCTTTGTCCTACGGGGAGGCGTGCTCTTCAGAAAGAATTTCGGAACCAGCGAAACTCCTTGGCTATTGGTTGTCCCCGCCAACCTCCTAGAAGAAATTTTTCAAGCGTGCCACGACGACCCAACGGCCGGACATCTCGGCTACAGCAGGACCCTTGCCCGGATTCGTGACAAGTACTACTGGCCAAAGCTTCCGAAGACCGTCCATCTCTACACACGATCGTGCCATGAGTGCCAGCGACGCAAGAAACCGCCGTCAAAGCCAGCAGGTCTCCTCCAGCCGATTACCCCGCCAACCAAGCCCTTCCAGCAAATTGGAATGGATTTGCTGGGTCTTTTCCCACCGTCAACGATGGGGAACCGCTGGATAATCGTCGTCACCGATTATCTTACTCGTTACGCCGAGACGAAAGCCCTTCCGTCGGGGACTGCGGTCGAAGTCGCCAAGTTCTTCATCGAGTCCATCGTCCTCCGGCATGGCGCCCCCGAAGTACTGATCACAGACCGAGGGTCATCGTTCATGGCACAGTTGACCCAAGAGATCCTTCGTCTAAGCCACACGGAACACCGTCGAACAACGGCATACCATCCGCAGACCAATGGGTTGACGGAGCGGCTCAACAAAACAATCGCCGACATGGTCTCTATGTACGTCGACGTGGAGCACAAGACCTGGGACGAAGTGCTGCCCTACGTCACGGTCGCCTACAACACAGCAGTGCAAGAGACCACAGGAGTGGCACCCTTCCAGCTGGTGTACGGCCGGGCGGTGACGACTATGCTGGACTCTATGTTGCCGCACGAGTCAGTCGACGACGGGAGTGATGACGCCCAGGTGGTTGCTCAACGGGCAGAAGAGGTCCGCCAGCTAGCCAGACTACGAATTCAAGACCAGCAACGTGTCGACGCCGGCCGCTACAATCTTCGCCGGCGTGACGCCCACTTTCAACCCGGAGACCGGGTGTGGGTCTGGACACCAATACGGCGCCGCGGTCTCAGCGAGAAGCTTCTGAAACGCTATTTCGGACCCTACAAGATCATCCGACGGCTCGGCGATCTGAACTACGAAGTCCTTCCCGACGGAACGCGCCCATCTGCAAGACGTCAGCCGCGACCCGAGGTGGTACACGTCGTCCGGCTGAAGCCGTATTACGAACGATAGAACTTTTTACTCTTGTCGACGAGTGAACTGTGAACTGTGAACTGTGGCTCGCGATTCTGCTGTCTTTTTGTTTAAGATTTTTTTTTGTCTTTTTTTTGTTTTGTTTTTTTGTTTTGTGCTGCATCGGGACGATGCGCTTTTAAAGGGGGGGATAATGCCGCGCGCAGGGTCACGGACTTCTAGAACTTTCTTGTTTATTCTTGCTCCGTACATAACTTCTGTCGTTTATCCCTGCTTATGTTGTTCTAGAAAGTGCGTGTTCATTCTCGCCCCGAGCGCGCTACGCTCGAACCTTCTTCGCCGAATCTTCGAGATAGTGACTCACTCTAGATAAGACGCCGCTCGCGACATTGTCGAGTCAGTTTTCGCCTCAGCGTTCGATCGTGCTGCTTCGCCGCCTTCGACGCTCGCGACGCTCTGTTGTTATCTTTCTTTCTGCTTTTACTTCTTGGGCACAAGTTCGCCCGATTAAACGTTCAGTTTACTTCGTTATTCGCCGCCTCATCACTTGTCCTTGGTGACAATATTGCTTCGGCAGGTTTTTCTGTGTAAGATGAAACCGTCGCGTGTTGCCGGAACAAGAACCTGGCGATTCTTCACTGAACTGCTTCTTCCGTAAGCTTCAAAAGGGCTTTTTTTTTCGCTCCGCACACCATTTGTTCTTCTTGCCCGTTAGTTGCAGGATGGTATGGTGCACTAATGTGATGCCTGATGCCGGTTTTTTTCCTTCAAAAACTTTTTTATTTTATTTGAAGCAAGATTTGGCGCGTTATCAGAGAAAGGTATTTTCGGTAGAGCAAAAGTAGGTAAAAGAGACCGTAGAACGTCAATGACGTATTTGGACGTCGTGGCAGGCATCGTGTAAACTTCCAGCCACTTAGAGTACGCATCGCTCATGACTCCGCAGATGTGGATACGTTTCGCCACCCATTGACTGAATAGTGGATCGTTTTAAGTTACTGTTCATGATGGCGTTGGACTCAAGGAAAACTTCGAGTCTTTCCACAAAGTTAGCCCAGGTGCCAGGACTTTTGTCGAAAGCGGTAAGTGTTCGAAACGTCGACAACGTCGGTAGCCACGTGTTGTGCTTGACATTCGCTGAGAAGAAACTTGCTCGTTCGTCTGCCATGAGTCGTCCGATATGAGGACATCACCGCAACACCATCTCCCGACAAAACACGTCTTCATTGTCCGCATGTCCATAGTTAGCAATCACGTCAACTTATAAATTCCCGAACGCTCATAACTTGCCGTCGCTAAACGCCGTTCATTCATAGCGTCTTCATTGCAAATAAACGTCTTCCTGTTTCTTCTGATGGTTTTCATCATAATCCTCCTAAGCTGTTATTACAACATTATGTGTGTCGGTACTTCCGAAAATATTGCAAAGGCGTTTGTTTTCTGGGAACCCTATAATGTAACAACCTTTACAACATCTTCCGGACCCCGTGAAACATAATATTTCGTGACCTTTTTTTAGTCGTCATTAAAACGGTGAGGTAAGTACCGTAAATCGCGAAGCAGTTTACTTGACGTCCGCTTCCACTGGTGTCTTGGAAGATTGAGTCTACTGAGCGTGCATTCCTGCAGAAGAAATCTTCATTGATAGAATATTGACACGTCAATCAACATTTGATTCCTTCTTAGTAAGATTTATTGCGAAAGCCCGTTACAACCGCCGAACCGCATGTCCCTATACCAGAGAACAATTTATACCCAGCCTAACATCCTCGCGTACATCCGTTTGCTGGGCCACGCTACTTGAGCTAGCTGAGCACAGCTGGCAGTGGCGCGAGCAAGGCCACGAGGGGAACGTGATGGTGCTCGAGCCATCCCACTGTGAACCAATGTTTCGGCCACCCCACGGGTGCGTGTCGCCATCTATTGGTTGAACTAACGCCTTGTTCAAGATGGCTGCCGTGGGACCGCAGCCTTAAGAGTAACGGCAGTTGAGGGTGACTTAACGACGGCTAAAGACGCACCGTGTAATAGGGTATCACAACTTTCTGCGGCTATGCTGACAAAGCTATGGGCGCACATGCTCTGGCGTATCTTGCCATATGAGTCCAGAGCCAGCAGAACCTTTTTTAGAAGTTGGCAATATCTCTACGGCCATATTATTATCGGTGTTTCCCGCCTGGGCACTATCTTTACTCTTGGCTACACGTGGCGCGGCACTTGACATCATGAATAAACAGTCGTCAGAGATTGCACAAAAATAAAAGCACGCAACCTTGAGCGTTGTCCTCCGCACTGCAGGGTGATTCATTGCCTATTCAGTTTTCAGTGTGATCAACTTTCTGCGGCTATGCTGTCAAAGCTATGGGCGCACATGCGCTGGCGCACATGTGCTGGCGCAAGTTGAGCGTCCAACGAAGCTCTGCACGCGCTCTTACCTTTTTCTGAAATAGCTATGAAAGAGTATATTGTGGAAACTGGTTAAGAGTAAGGGCAGTTAAAGGTGACTTAACGGCGGTAAAGGGTGCACCATGCAATAAGGTATCACAACTTTCTGCGGCTATGCTGTCAAAGCTACGGGCGCACATGTGCTGGCGCATCTTGAGCGCCCATCAGAGCTGTGCACGCGTACTCTTTACTTCTGAAATAGAGGTGCCCGTGCAGCTAGGGTATTAAGCTGGCAACGAGTATAGAGATGCGTCTGACCATCAACCTTCTTACTCCTAAATCACGCAGGGAATCATACATGCAATCCACGATTGGTGCGAAAAGTATGGCGACGTCTTTGGGTAAGTGTTTACGCTACAGCTGTTACTATAAGGGACACTTTTCGAAAGTCTGTCCTCTGATGGTCGTTGTGGAGTCTCTGCACAATGGCGGACTGAAACCGTACGTCACGGCACACTTTATGGGTTTTGTTGGATTAGAAGGCAAAAACACACTCACAGAACAAAGTGACGAGCACAGTGACGTAGCACTTTTGTCGCTGTTTGATTGACTTGTCGGCTCCTGGCGGGGATCGCGATCCGACGTTCGCTGTCTTATGGAATGACTTGCACGTTCCGCGATGTCAGTGGGTCCGCCATTGTGCAGGGGTCACGACCTTCTAATAATGGCACGTGATTTTCAGAAGGGGTCGATAGAGCAAATGATTAGTCATGCCGGTGTCCACGACACCTTTTCAGCGCTCATTACCCAGGCAAAACAATGCTGAGTTGCTGGGCTCTGGACGCTAGCGCGGCTTCTAACATTCCGCACAGTAGTCACTGAACGTGCTCAAAACGCGTCTAAGAGCCCAATGGACAAAGATGGCGAAGGACAGTAGGCGGTAATTGCAATGGTCTATACAAATCAAATTCAGTTTTGAGTGTGCTCAATTATTTAGTTTAGTTTGCCTGATTGCGAAAAAAAAAGGCGCGATAGAAACAACGAAGGACAGAGACGAGTACACACACGGCAAGGTTACTGTCAAGTGTTTATTTTGGAAGTAGCGCCCATCGGCGTGGCCACACCGAACAGAAATACCCCAGATCACATGACCGTCACATGTTAAAACTACTCACAAACGAAGGCTCGCAGACATAATGAGCGACTGAAGGAGTGCTGATACAGGTCTCTTGAATCTTCGAAATGACAAAGGCCTCAGTTACCTCTCTATACTTCGTTTCAGCTTCGGTCCGAGCGCGGCCGATGTTATGAGCCGAAGGGCCAATCAAACAGCGCAAAAAGCGCAGCGTCATGGTGTGCTCTTTGCGCTTGATAGAACTAACCGGCAGAGGAGCGCGTACAGAGAGGCGGCGAATACCGGCTGGTCCTATCAACTGCAGAGAGCAAGTCATGACCTTGTGCCTCTTTCGCTGTTTGATTGGCCCCGTAGCTCGCAACATCGGCCGCGCTCGGACCGAAGCTGAAACGAAGTATAGTCAACTGGTGACGATGTCGTCCCAGAACTGTGGTTTCACCTAAAACAAAAGTCGAACCGCGTCTACCTCAGTGAAGCGCTGAATTTCCCGACGGTGATGCCTTAATGAAACTCGCATGCTCACTTAATCTACCATTGATAGGGCGTCCAGTCCGACCGATGTACACTTTCTTAAATGACAGAGGGATGCCATAGACCACGCCTCCCGCGCAAGGGACAAATCTATTTCTATGCCTGTGAGGGTAAAAGCGCTAAAAACAACGGACAAGTAAACGAAACGAACAACACAGAGCGCTCTGTGTTGTTCGTTTCTTTTACTTGTCCGTTGTTTTCTTAAAAGGTGCCAAGAAAAAAACTGGAACGCCATGTTGTTGCGCACCTGTTTTTCTCCGATGCGTCACATTATAAATAATAGGCATTACAACGGGTCTCTGCGTAGGTCCCTTACACATAATACCCTCCTAATTTCGCCCATCATTTCATGAGACTCTCAGAAACACCTATAGGGAGACTGTTTGGGTGGCCGTCCTCCAAAAGCCTGTCGGCCTGAGAACAAAAACTCGTCACCATTTGGAGGGACACGATTTGAAAAGAAATTCCCGTAGACAACCAGTTGGGATTCCTTTCTTTATTATAGTGGCTGGAGTGGAACGGAAGTAACACCTTTTTTAGACATAGGAAAGTTGCACCAGCAGACGTGGGACCCAGTGAAAGTTAATTTAACGTCTAAAAGCTGTAAAACCCTTCAGTCTATGTACTATTATCTGTCTTTCGTCATTTTTATCGCTCTTATTTTTCGTAATCACGCTTAACGAACTCAGCCAACTTTCCACTTTGCTACAAATAGTTCGACTGATTGAGATTTGATTATACTGTTGATTGGGAGTGCCAGCTATGTAGCGATCCAGTTACCCAGCTGGCCCGGATGAGCCAGCAAGATAAAATAACCATCCACTTATCTGTCGCCCCCTATCAGGCTCTGTTAAAAATAAACGAAGACAATGCTTTCGCAAGTGCTTCCCCGGAAGTTATCATTCGCGGTCTCTTTATTCTTTATTTTATTATTTTCACTCCCTTTCTCGTTCCCATTAGTCGAAAGAGCCCCCGATTTCAAAATAAATTTCTTTAACATCATTTCAGTTTGGCCTCCGTTATCAAAAAGGGTTTTGTGTTTTCAGGTTTTATATATTGTTTAGTTGTTTTTGGGGGTGTAATATTTTCCGAAGATGCGGCGTCTTTTAGTGCTCATTTCTAGTGTTGGACAAAGAAATGTTTTTCCGACGTCGGCGACGGGACGGGAAAATCCTGAATGGTCGATAGGGTCATGACGTCATAGCAAAGTGACCTCGCGCGCGAATTTCAAACAACCCAAGACGCTCACGTGAATCGTGACGTCACGCGTGGAATGAAAGTGATTAAAACACGACAAGTAATTCGAAATAAAGGTCGCCGTATGCCTCAAATCATTTTACTTTATAACGTATTTGATTTGCCTTCAGGAAGAAAAATTTGTAGAGTTTTAGGCGGGATTCAAATTCACGTAATTTCGGTTGTAAGCCAGACACGCTGCTGGCTGGGCCATGCAAGGGAGGCTTGCACGGCTTATGAGAATGCGATGCGAACGGGGCCCGATAACGTTATCGCGTTCCACTCTTCAAGGGGAAGCTTAAACGTACTTTAAGTTTTTTGTCGGGGTTTTACGTTGAAGAAAAGAGGACGAAATGAATCCCTGGAGAAGGGGAACAAGAGGGACAAAGGACAAACATAAATCTCCAAACACAGCTAGGTGACTGGTGAGCGACCGAAAAAATCCGCCTGGTCCGGGTATCGAACCCGGGACCTCTACATTCCAAGTGGAGCGCTCTACCAACTGAGCTAACCAGGGGTTAGACGTCAGTAGAGCAAACGGGTTTTATCAGCTGCCACCAATCTAACACCAACAAGGGTGAAGCTTGCAAATTCAAGGTTAGAATTATAATGCAATTAAAATGCAAAGGTGCAAGCGAGCTGGACAGGAATGACGAAATGAATCCCTGGAGAAGGGGAACAAGAGGGACAAAGGACAAACATAAATCTCCAAACACAGCTAGGTGACTGGTGAGCGCACAGCTGTAGGATTCTCTAACCTCGAGGGAGCATGCCCATGACCACAATATTCGGGAAGAGTCTCTGTACCGATAAAATAAAAAAAAAAAAAAAAAAACGAGATGGAGAGTGCGCCTCACGCCTGCGTTCTGTGTGAACACGACATAAAACTGCAGACAAACCTTTTTCCCGGAAAGTGTGAGAGTTTTCTCAAACTTTATCGAAGTCGAAAGAACCGAAAAGAAGCCCTCCAATAAGGGCTTCTTTTTCCGTTTTCTTCAATTTCGACAAAACCGGTTCGAAGATTAACCTTCGGTAGAGGTGTGCGACTACCGGTTCAAATATTGAATAGCGCACCGTCGTACCTAGGTTTAACATAGTTAAGAAGACCGGTTGTCACGGCTGTGGCTTCCACTATGAAGCTGACGAATGACGCGGTGTTATTCGATTGGAACCGGTATTCGCGCACCCCTACTTTTCGGTGTTTTTCGGTTTCTACCAGAGAAACATGACACCCTAAAGACCCTGCCATTTTAAGAAACAGAGGTCGCGGCATAAAATGTTTACGTTTTTTGTTTCATGATTCGTTCCTCTGAGTTTCATTCGTGTAATGCCGCAACGTCATTGGCTGACGAGCCGCCATAAGGTGCTCAAGGCTCCGCACGTACTGCGTTCCCCCAGCTGTCGATAAACATAGCAATTAAATACGTTATTGTCCAAGCGTATCGAAACACTTTGAGATTATCAAAGAGTAATAACTCGCACGTACTTTTTGCTGGTAAATGTAACCGACATTCTTTTACATGAATTTTTTTGCAGATTTTATAATGGTGACGTTCCCACTCTCGTTGTGAAGGACTTGGACTTTTTGTCGTACGTCTTCATCAAGAACTTCTCAAACTTCATGAATCGAGGGGTACGTAGAGCGTGATAGATTTCGTTGTTGTTCTCAACATTGTAATAAACATCTTTGCACGTCCAGCATCTTCGTGGTCAGAAATGTATCCACAATGTAGCGTACCTGGAAGATTCTATCGTAACAAGCAACACCCGACGGTAATAAGGGCGTTGGAGAAGCTTCAGACACATTCTTAAAAGGGCCATGAATCGATTTTTTCACTTGCGCTAAATACTTCTCAGAATCTCTCCATGACTTTATTAACCAAAAAAACTTAACCTAGTCTTTTTTTTTTTTTTGTTTCTCTAACCTATGGTAGTTGGTAATCAGATTCGAGAAATATGAGCATCGTTCATCCCCTCCGCTCGGAGCTAGATCAAGCGGCCACGTGACCTGGTGCCTATCCTATGCCGCCAACATTAATCGTAGCCACGCACTGGGGTCACCAAAGTAGAAAACGTGTACTGAGCTCCAGGCATCATTAGAGTTAGGCTATTCTCGTCACTGCACTGGTTCGACACGAGCCACTCCCGAGTGTCCGCCGAGGTATTGATTGTTACGAGCCGAAGTGCAGTGCTCACGCAGTTCTCATGTCCAATTCATTAGCCGCGCTCAACTGTCGTCAGGCGGGATGTTTCCATCCCACAATTACGTCACCAAGCTTTGCAAAGTCAAGACTGAAATAAATAGTCCCCTTTTGTCCTCGCAATTTCACCGCGAGCAAGAAGCTGCTGAATCAGTGACGGTCCGTGCGAGTATACTTTGGCCAGACTAGGGCCAGTACACGTCTGTAAAGTCATGAACATTCCATCCCGATTTTGTATCATGACCCCTTTAACTCGTATTCGACTATATCGCGATATCTCATGGGAATGATATGATAGTATAATTACTATGATACTTTGTCATAGGAATGATATGACAGTATAATTAGTATGATATTCTGTCATAGAAAAGGTGTGTACATCGCCAGTTATAAAATCCCGAGTGATATTTGTGTTGCTTGAATGTTTAAACGACCTTGAAGTTGGTACGCCTCAACGGGTAGTTTGTCTTTCAGCTGTAGATGAGAAGCTTAGCCAGTGCAGTACAACCCCAACCTGGAGTCTTTAATGTGCAGCATGCAGTAGTTATCACACGAACACGTGCCGGTACCTATTTCTTCCAGATGGAAACGGGCAGGTGGTCGGGATCGGACACAGAAGGTTCTGCGCTGCAAGCTTTCAGTCCACGCTCCGAGCTAATACGCGTTAAAGTGATATTTATATTTTTAGATTGTTTTTTGTGTAGAGGTGCATCACTAAGCTTATGCGAAGATGCATTAATACTGAAGTAACTTTTTTTTATTTCTTGATAAATGCACGCACTTGTGAATATTTTTTTTTACATTTTGCACATACACACGTTTGTTTATATTACTTAAGCCTGGCAGATCTTTTACTGTGAACGCACTGATTCTGTCCCCTACTTTTGTTATTTAATAAAGTGCAAAAATAAAACGAATATAATTGAAGGATTTTGAAGATGATCTCTCGTATGTCAGAATGGCAGTCGGTATTTTGTCAAAGAGCTTAAACAGCTGTTTTTAAGCGAAGCGGATGATGCTGCTCTGAAACCTTCAAGGACTTTATTTTTTTTCTTTGTCATTATAGACAGTTTGAACAAATGAGACGAATACACGACTGTTAATAAATTAACGAAGACCTAGTTCGTCATCTTTGTATAATTTGTCCAAATATTTACAAGCTGTTTCCATAAAAAAAGAACAAACCAACTAGATCAACCAAAGCATGTTTAACGGTGCCCTTTCGTTCTTCGTTCTAAAGTTCAAGTTGATATATTTACAGAGCATGTCTCAGGCCGCCTACTCGTTTTATAAACAGTCAGTTATCAAATCTTGCGTTTCTAGCTTCCTCAAGCGTTGTCTGATCCCTTTTGTTTTGCAATGTGAAGGTGACAATGAGGACTGACGAGCAACACGAATTGCTTGGCCGGAGTCTCCTGCATGCGCAAGGGCTCCAGTGGAAGCGGACGAGGAGTTGCGTATCCTACGCGTTCACCGCGAGTAAATTTAAGCAGGTGAGACCAAGCGAGCGGTTAAATATGGGCTATGGACGCTTTGCAGCAGCCGTGCATGGGCGCCGCCATAACCGACCTTCAGTTTTTGTCTATACTTGTTCCGTTTGCTTGAGTTCATCATTACTATGGCAGGCCAGGTATTGCCATCTTAGATTCTTCTGTGTCCTTTTCCCCGGCTTTGGCCCATGTGGAGGCTCGCCAACGCCCGTATCAGTGGCTTGGTATCTCGGTGAGAAAAGAGAAGGTCAGCTGTGGCGGCTGTAATCTGGCGCGTGTGTAAAGCGTCTATGGGTGTCCAAAAATAGCTAATAGTATCAGTAACACGAGCAGTAATAGTAACATTTGTTTCCCTATCTAAAGCCGCGATGCCACAGGAAGGTGGGTAGCCCGTACCAAGATGACCATGAGGTACCGCACTTGAAGATGATGGTGTGATGGGTATAGGGGGGAAGGGGGGGGGGGGGCACAAGTGCATGGACAACGACTCCTAGGGGTCAATTCATTCGAAAGCGTGAGTTTTTGCTTGCCTGCCGGTAGTGAACTGCCCGATTTTTGGGGGAATCGTATGCCTATACAAATAGCGAGCACAATATATGTAAAGTCTTAAGCGATAAACAAATAAAAGTTAAGTACAACCTTTGAGAAGGTCTAGCTGTAGTGCTCAATTGCAAGCAGGGCATCTGGCCGCCGCTATGTCTCTGCTAGTGACTTTTAGGCACATTATCTATGTGCTTGCACGCATGGGGAACCAGCCAAGATGGTCTGCTTGCAACATGCACGTTCTCAAATTTAGTGCCATTTAGTGGCAGTAATATCAGTATAACTTTTGAATTGCTACTGGCTGTAAAATGCAGAGGATAATCGGGCACCGGCACTTCAGACTGTCAGCAGCAGACGGGTATACGTGTTCTTTGCTGTTCAGTTCTCTCTCAATGGACCTTTTCCACATACCGACGGCACCAGGCGGTGGCTGCACGGCCTAAAAATGGAAGAAGTGACCTACCTGCGCTACCAATCGGTAATGGGAGCTACGCTACCAGTTTCTTCGCACTCTGAGCAGCGGCGCCAGCCCAACAGCATCTTGAAAGAGGGGCATCCGTGGCGTCCACCTAAACGTCGTGTTTTCCTTTCCGTCGACGTTCTTTTTTTGTGTAACACAATTATATATATGCTGCAGTTACGTGTTCTACTCGCTGATATACAGCCTCCATCCGAATTTCCTCGATGTTTCGTTTCAACTTCCGCCGCTTGGCATCGGGCGCTCGCGCGTGCGCAGAACGCTTCTCGGAAAAGGTCCATTCTGTGTCGATGATTACAAGAAACTATCTTTGTGTGCGAGGCGCTCGCCCCCATAAAAATCTTGATTAAATTCACCACATCGAGGGTTTTGTGGGCCGAGTGTGCGTAACCTAATTTGTTGGACGCGAGTTCGAAGTGAACGCAGACAAGGCTCTTGCCTCCAATTTGTGCTTCGCATCGATCTAGCCTCTAGAATGTTCAGGCTTTGTATAATTGACTACGCTTCATATCTTAAACATCTCCCTTTATGAGACGCAGTAATGTCGCCATTAGCCTGCAACAAATGCGAGAATGGAGGCCGTACACTGCTATGATCATATAGAACGGCCACAGCGTTTTCTGCGTTGTAAGACGAACCGGAAAACTTAGTGCCTGCAGATCCTGGCACATTCACCGATTGTGCATTTATGTGGCGGAGTTTACTTTGTCATCTTTCACTGTGTAGTTCTATCTTTGTAAAAAAAACTAGACTAACAAGCTTGCCATAATCAGCTGCTAACCTGGTCGGAGACGACCAAGTTGCAAACAATGTAACCTGTGATGCCATCTCCCAATAGGCGCAGCGTGCAGGCGGCTCACTCTGTTATCGTCTTACTGCTCACCCAGCGGAAGATAGCGCCATAATTCGCATTCATTATTAACTCATGCCTGATCCACGGGGTGCGATTTTACTTGCGATTTTGCAGTTGTGACGTCGGTTGCACGGCAAGAGCGAAGTGGACGCTGCAGTGTTCAGTGTCGCACCTGCGAAGTCTCAAGATAAATCGCACCATGTGTATTAGGCTCCAGACGTCTGCCAACACGTCCGTCGTTGACTTTGGCAACTTTGCTGGTGTAATTATTTTCTTTTAAGAGAAGAAACAACACCTTGCATTTCTTCAAAGTAAAATCCACCACCTAAATGTACATACATTCGGTGAGAGGTAGGGCTTTTTATGTCGAAGCCCCCATTTTTCCGTTCGTTTTACAGCACAGGGAGGACTGTGGTCATCCTATTGTTGTAGAATTGGACAGTCTAAATTTTGAAAGGGTTCGTTGGAGTATGGCTCCTCAGTCATTCACTGGCTCTAATGCATATATCTTAAGCTATCCGTCAGTTTCGTAAGTAGGGTCCTAACCCCAAAGCTTCACTCTCACTCTGCTTCTGCTCTGCCAGGTCTTTCCTCACATGGACAGGTCATGCGATCGCCTTCTCGAGGCGGTGAGGGAGAGGGCAAACAGCGGCAAGGAAGAAAGCGTGGGCGATCTCTTCAAACCTCTGACCATGGACTACATCAGCGGGGCGAGCTTCGGCATTCAGACCTCTTTCCAGGAAGAGAAGAACCACCCGCTTTTCTTGATGGCCAAGAAGGTTCTTCCGGGCACCATGACCGGCCCGTTCCACATGATCGCACGTAAGGGCCGTCTTCTCTTGAGAAGCGGGTGTCGTTCATCGGCCGGGCTTGAACGTAGGATAACGGGCTAAGCGTTGCTGCCATCGGGAGTCTATGACTATCCACATAGTCATGTCTGTAACTATATGAATGTTTTAAACATAAGTCATTTCAAGAAACCGAGAACGTGAGAGATTATGTTAACTCCTTTTGCTTCGTGATTCTTTCTTTGCGTTCTTATTGACTGAGACCGCAATCTTCATGGCTGCAGAGTGTTAATGAAATACTCTGACGACGCCACCACAAGCGTTTCTGAACTATCGGTGACTCTAAGAACTTTACGCATACCAGCAGGGCTGCACCTCATAAGACCATCTCTCATTCTCTGTTCGCATTTACTCACGACCGAAAACAGCCAATATGTGAGCCAATAGAGTCAATGAACTGCACCGAAGCATAATGCCGTGACATTGGTCGTGTTTCTGCGGTCTTTAATTGCCCTCTAATCTTTTTTTTAAGGCAAAAGCCTTACTTGTCCCATTACGCGAAAAGGCGGTGGCGTTGTGCCCGAAAGATGGTCACACCAATACGTCATCAAGCACCAGACGCTCAAGGTCAAAGCGAACGCGCCTCAGAAGTAAAACACAAAGAAAAGCACAGCAACGCAGATGCTCAAGGTCAAAGCGAACGCGCCTCAGAAGTAAAACACAAAGAAAAGCACAGCAACGCAGATGCTCAAGGTCAAAGCGAACGGGCCTCAGAAGTAAAACACAAAGAAAAGCACAGCAACGCAGATGCTTCGTCATGGAAGCCGTGGAGCCGGCGGGGGCGCCGCGCGTGCGCAGTGGAGAAGCGTGACGTCACCACTGGAGAGCCCTGTGAAAAAGGAAGACGAGGAGCGCTGCTTGTAGGGATACGCTGCGTGTATGAATTCTTTCGGATTCTTACACGTAAGCAGTCTTAAGTGTCTAAGGTAAACAGGTTATTGGATTCTCCTGGTACTGACAATCCGACAGTTCCTAAAACAGAGTACAAATAATTTATTAACGCAATTTGTGTAATTTATATCATCGATACTTAAATTAAGGGATCTCTGGAGTTGAGCACCCTTGACGGGGGTTTGATAATCGATTTGTTTTCTTGCATTATGACGTACCATATTTAAAAATTTTTATATAGTTTGGTATATCGTTTCCTGCACCAAAAATCTTACTCTACTGCTTTTTTTTTTTTCACAGAAGCAACAACAACGCTAAAGGATCTGGTTGCACCACTGCTGTGGCTTAATTCCAAACTGGGCTCCTTTACTTACGATAAGTTCTCCAAACTCGCCTACAAAGCGGTGGAAGCGAGAAGAAAAAATCCGTCGGTGAGTTTCCTTTGGGTTCGTGGGGTGAGAGACCTTCTGCTTGTCTCGCAGTCACTGATTGAACCTGGAATTAAAAATGAACAAGCTTTGTTTCTGAACCGCGTCACAGCGCTGCTGTCGATGTCATCAACATGGCAGCCCTTCCTCGAGGTGGGCGAAACTACAAAGGCTTTGATCGCCAGCGGTAAATCAAACCGGCATTCTGTTTGCACGAACCACCCCAGCTAATCCAGCGCTGAGATGGTGCCACGTTCCTACACACCCCGTTCCTCCGAACGGTCACGTAACATTCACGCGGCATTTGATTAGGTCCGATGGCTCGTAGCATTTGCCGCGCTTTATCGTATGCTGCGAAACGGAGTGCTGATTCCGCTACTTGATGTCAACAAGCCTAGCTGTCACATCCCGGCACACAGTAAATCTCCTGCTCTACACAGTTCCAGCAAAACGTTTTTTCTTTTCACTTTTTTTTTGCATGGTTCAATTTAATTGAAACCCGGCAATGAGAAGGTGCAATTCGTTTGATTGTCCAGTTCAAGCTAATTCTCTACGAAATGCGGTACTCTGGGTGGGCCTAGTGGCTCTAGGGGTGCTTAGGCTAGGTTAGTGTACAAAATTCAATATGAAATACGCCTCGGTGCCTTTACGCGATGCAAAGCGCCGGCCTACGTATCCTAAGGTAGCGTGTTTGAACCCAGGCCAAGGTGTCCGCAATCTCACGGAGAAGACACCTTGTAACCGAGATTTCCGTTGCACTTCAAAAGATTTTCAGATAGTCGACATCAGTCATCAGTTGTATGTTGGTGTGTCAGATGCCCTTCGTTGGTTTGGCAGGTAAAACTCCCAAATCAGCAATTTGCAATATAAGATATCATTGTTATTGGGTATTGCGGTACGTTAGGGTTGTCGTGGAAAAGAATGATAAAATTAACACTTAGAGGAATAATGAGATATATATATCAAGAATACAGAACTTATTTTGCCTTGCTGTTCTATCCATAAAGTGGTCACTCGGGAAAGTGATAAGAAACCATCTGCATAAGAAACACAGATTTAGAGTATATGCATATGGTATAAAAACAAGGGGACATTTCTTCGAAGCTTGGAAGACGTTGACTTGTCTGTACAGTGTATGTTGATCCAGAATGCTACCAAATTATTCAAAGAGTTTTGCATGTGGACAGTGTTCAACTCAATGTTGTGCGGCCCTTGAAGAAGATATTCATATAAAGCCTTGATAGCGTCCGTGTTGACTGAAAAACAAAACTTGACTCCTCCATATCCGTGAGAATCGTATATAGTTTGCATCTAAGTGGACGTAAGGCAGTTTGTCTTCTCATTGTAGTGTAATAATTGTAGACTATTTTGTAGTATACTCTGATATATATTGGCTGCACTGAGGAGAGTAAGATTAGAAACGTTTCTCGTCTTCACAGCCACGGAGCATGGATATTCTGCAAATCATGTTGGAGGCTGAGACCGACGAGAACTTCGAAGGAACCGAAGTAAAGAATGGTACGTTGCTTATATAACTTACAATTTTCAAGTTAAGTATAAACAAAATGATGTAGCGAAACTTCGTCGAATTGTACAATAAATAATGCTCCAGAGAGCAGGCCATTAAGTACAATTAGGAGCTTGTTAACAACTAAGTAATATATTCCCTGTGCGCGCATTTAGTGCTCTGACACCCTTGAATGATCAACAAACCACGTGCCTTTTTACTGGCTCTTGATTGAACACGGCATCCCCTAGGTGTTGCTATAGTTCATTATAGGGTAAAACGAAGCTAATAATTTGGTAATTTTTACCTCTGGCGATTTAACGCCAATACAAATCATTATACATCAACTAAAATTGAGAAACCTAGTTAAAATAAGATAATATTGTATAAACTGCTATGTGTAAACTTACTAAAACAAAATAAATATAGGAAAACAGATTATTACAAATCTGATAAAGTTGCCCAGAAACATTCACGTCGTTATTTCATGATTAAACGTTTTTATAAGTTTTCTGAGAATTCTGAGACATCGGAGCACATTAAATGCATTTTGTGGGTGATACGTCAATGAAATAGGATTTCATCTTTTCGCGTATTAACCGAATATAAAATTAGGCTGCATTTGTTTTAACACAAATTTGGTCTTTCGCATCATTTTTTTCCTGCCTTGGAAAGTGTGAAACATAAACAATGCGCGAAAAGGTATTAAAATCACATAAAAACACGACAGTACACAAAACTTAATAAACAGGTCATTTTTCACACCAAGTACACCCTTCATGAAGAAGACGTTATTTACTTAGACTGAACATTCTGCTTACCCGCAACATAAAACTTCGAGCATTATTATATTTTGATGTAGTGTAAAAAGTTTGACAGATAATTAAAAACAAACAGTACTGTGTACTCTACAGACAGACAAGCCTTTGTCATCACAATCGATGTTAACTGTTTTTTCGACAGGACAAATCAAGGTCCAGAAAAAGCTAACCCGAACGGAAGTGTCCGTTAACACTGGGGTGCTTCTCATCGCAGGGTAAGCGCTGTCATCAGCTAGTCGATCAGAGTCAAGTTTATTTATTCATTTACTCCAGGTTACCTCGCAGCACTAGAAGCATCATCGCAAGAAAGGGGGAGGGGGCAGGTATATTTTCCCAAAAGCAAAAAAATGCAGTACACATTTTAAAAAAAAAATGCAAGCATGCAGTTAAATTACACACTAAAGAAACTTTAGCCCGAAAGAGAACAATATTCATCTTGGAAGGTCCCTTTTCAATTATCTACTGCTATTTACAGCATGAATAGAAAAAAAAATATACTGACAACAATAACGGTAACATCGCGAAAACCGCAACACGCAATATATACATAGTGAAGAAAGCGTGGCTTGTTAGTGAGCCCCCGACCGACCCGCCCCAAGCGGCAAACACACCGAAGCTCGTCGAGCGTCGCCGCAAAGTGGCAGACGAATCCGTCTTGGCGTCGTCGCATGCTAGCGGGGCGACCGTTGTCGGACGCCGCAAGCCGCGCTGGCGGCGACGCTGACGCCAGCTAGGCGGAGAGAATCCGTCTGCTTCTGATTGGCTTTGATTGAAAGGATAGTGGGTAGACCTCAATGCGAGACGCCTTGAGGTGTACCCCCTATTTCTTTCAATCAGCCAATAAGAGCTCGGCGTTCTGACATCGTCGCAACCCTTGGGCAAGAAGAAGACAAAGTTGCGCTCCGTATAGGCAGCGCTCTGTCGACCCACTAGTGAGGAGGTTTGTAGTTTTAAAAAGGGGAGGGGGCGGAAACACAGGATTGTTTTCTAAGGGGTATTGGTTCAATATTCACCCTTGCCCGTTTCGATATGTATGTGCATCGTATACCCGAGTATGGTGATGTGTCACTACTGCGTGGTGCACTTTAAAGACCCTAGACATTGGCTATGTTTCTCAACCACGGCGGCGACATCAGACGTTCGTTGGGGCTGACTAACTTCTCGCTATCTAAACAATAAATGCAAGAATATTTCCATAGAGAAACTGGTGGCGTTGAACCTACCCAGACAGTTAAAAGGCTTTTTTTTTTCTTTTTCTTTTTAGAGCGAACTGCCGTCTTTAAGAGTATTTGATGGTCAACATTCAGTAAGCTTTCTGGCTGCAGTGACTGACAGCGTTAAATTGTTACCTTCATCTTGACCAGGTTTGGAACCACTTCTGCGGCACTGAGCAATCTGAGCTTCGTCCTTGCCAAATACCCCGAAGTGCAAGACAAGGTCAGAGAGGAGGTCAATGCTGCCATGAGGAAACACGTGAGATTTTGCTTCTCAATCATGTTGTTTGATAATGGACAGTTTTGGTAAACGGAACGAATTTGATGGTTATGTCGCACTTGGTTAGTACAAGTAAAACACGACCCGTGAAAATAAATACAGGACGCGTAACTTATAAATTAGCGCCTAGTGAAATAGAAATAGGCGACTAATAGTAAAATAAAGTATTAGTACGCGAGGAAAAGAACATTTAGTGTCGTGTGATTGTGCCCTAAAAATACAAATGAATGTGGAGAATGGTAAATTTTATATTAGTTTGACAAACAGTGAACGTCAACCAGCGTAATGAAGTACACAAATAAAACCATCAAATATAGTAAAAAAAAAAAGGGAAAACGCTCTATGTCGTTTACATTAGCAAGATCACTTTGTTTCTCCTCAACATGAACTAAGCTCTGCTAAAGGCCACGAGCACCAGCTTTTGTGGATCGTGCTCCCGCTGCACGATTGTTCGTTTAAACATAGGGACGATCTGACATGCAAGACGAGTAGTTGACGACAGTCGCGTCTGCATGTTTTAATTTATATTCAACATGACTGTAGTTGAGCTGCAAGACGAATGGTTAATTTGACAGGATGTGTATTAGTATGACATTAATGCTGAACTTGACTCGTCAAATTAAATTTCACTGGTCAATAATTGCTACCGCTCCGGATCGATGTTGGAACGTAAAGCAGAATTTATAAGCGCCCAGTTAAGATTAAGAAAATGCTCTAAATGTTAAAGGGGCACTGACACCCCAAAGCTCGTATTTATTTTTATTGTCTAAAACGATGCAAGTTGCAGCCATAGACACGCAAAAAAAAACGCATCGCGAAAAAAAATTTTCCCGCGCGCACGCGCGCCTTTTTATTTTTGGCGTTTGATTTTCCCGCCTCTCGCCTCCTCGCTTCTTTTGATCGGTGACGTCAAAAATCAGGAAATTTAGAAGCTTTGTAGGCGGCATCTTTATAACATTTAATGACGGCAATCCCAAAACATGTTTTTTAACGCAATTGCGAACGCACTACGGCCCTTCTTTTTGAAATACCAAAAATCGGGAGTTCGTTGTGGTGCCGTCTCCTGGATTTGTATCCTCCAACGGAAGACAGGCGACACCGCTCAAAACCGGTCCGCCGCAACGCCGGCGCTAGCCGGCGCTCGCTCCTTTCCTCCTCGCTTTGGGTCGCCATGGCAACAGCAGGGAGTGGTGACAGGAAAGGGGACTCTCAGGTCTCCGCAATTTTTGACGTCAAGGCACCGGCGCCGATCGCGCGGGAACTTCGAATTCGGCATTTGGAAATTGTTTTTTTACTTCACGAATACTGAATTCCCAAATTTCAAATTTTGAGGGTAATGTCCCGGCATCGTTTTCGACCGTTTCGGATAATAAAAAAAAATATGATTTTGATGTGTCAGTGCCCCTTTAAGGTTCGTACTGCAGCGGGGAGCAATTATTGATGTGGTCCTCTATTTTTGTCAACATTTGCCGTCGTTGCAGGGCCGCATTAACTACGCCGCTGTCACCGAAGACCTCAAGTACCTCTCTAACGTCGTGGACGAGACTCTGCGTATCTACCCCGTAGTCGTAGCGTACGTACAAACTGCAAAACAATTTTTTTTATTTTATTTTCTATCTTTACCGCTCTTGATTATGCTATTCGCTAGCTGCAAACACGTGCAACTAATCCTCGTTCCTTAGCTTCAGATTTCGGCAGCTAGGCTACACTAGTCTTTGATGCGCAATTAGGTGCGCATCAATGTGCTTTTGTCACGATTAGAACACGAGGACTTAATGCAGCGAGCTGATTTTCCAGAGCGGTGCTTGGTTTGAGGGTCTTTTTATTTCGCAGAGGTGTTACGTATCTCACAACGTGGTGCAGGTTAAAGATCCCTTGAGAGGGGTTGTACTGCTCTGGGTAAATTTCTCATCTACAGCTGAGACACCAGGCGCACAATAGGGCTGACGAACTTCCGGCTGAATAAACATACACGTAACACAATGTTCACCAAGTTTTGAAATCTGTATTCTACAGTTCTGAGTATCTGCGAAAAGTGCGTTACTAAATTCTCTCCAGGTTTTTAATTTTTTTTTTATTTAGTGCGGTAACATTAATCGGCGTAGTCCGCAAAAGTCTGACTGTTTTGCGTGAGGTGATTGCTGATTTCCAGAACAGTGTCTTTTATTGAGGATGTGTATAACAGAAATATATAAGTACCTCTTTCTGAATCAAATTTCTGTAATTCCGAATCTTAAATAAATGTATCTGCATGTACTTTTCGGAGACTAAATTTATGCCATGTTAAATTAACCTGAGTCTGGTGTAGAAAAGAAACATTGAAACGTAGAAGGGACAAAATATAGACACCAGTCTATCTTTCTACACCAGTCTCGGGATAGTTCAACAAGGTTAATATTCACCAGCTCGCCTGCACCCTTACTAAATTTGCTCGGACGTTTTATGGTTTGTCAGGAAACACAATATCGCATGTATAACTATGCAATAAATTGAACAGGAACATTATCGTCAAAAAATAAGCATTTCTATAGCTTAACTTCCAACACCGTAAGAAGCCCGCCAAACTTAGCGGTCTCTGTTCCGCAATTTTCGGCGCCACGGCAGTGTGTTACAAAAATGCTAAGTATGGCGGTTGAGGTAAACGTCCGACGCACTTAAAGAGCATTAGTTACGTGTCGTCGTCAGCGTGACGGTAGTCATGGGTCATCGGAGAGGCGGTAGTCAAATGCCCCAGTCGCGTCACGTGACGCCATCAAGTGATGTGACGTCATGGTGGCACGTGGCAACGTGTACATTGCGCGCTAATCCAGAGCGGCTCAAAAGATGCCGCAAGTTACGCCTGTCCCGTATTTATATATTTGATTAAGATAACCTGACTTGCTTTCTAGAATATTTTAGGCCCGCGTGGCTTTGACGACGCCATACATAAATTGCGGTCTTGTAGACGCAGTTTTTCTTCTACCATATTTTTGTGGTGTACACACGAACAAAAAACAAACAACTAGCACTGTTTTTTTTTCCTTTTTTTTTTGCATTTAGGTTCAACACACGATCGGCCTTAAACGACTTCGAGTATGAAGGCGTCAAGTACAAGGCGGGACTGAGCATCATGTCCCCTACCATCGAGATACAAAAAGATCCGAGATTCTGGACGGAACCTGAAAAGTTTGATCCGGACAGGTGAGAACTGCTCGTTTCGATATTTAATTTTATTCGTAATGCACCGCGGAAAAAAAAAAGCGTTTAAAATAGGCTATCGAATTTGTTTAACATTGCTCTTTTTTTTTTTTCGCTACCGAGATTCGGTGTGGGATAAAGAGGTAAAGCTAGAACCGATCTCGCAAATGCTGAAGAACAAGCGCATTTAGTCTAATGATACACAGTTCTATTTCTACCTGGTAGATGGCGCTACCTACCAGTGTGTTCCCTTGTCATAAGCGAACGCAAGGACACGCTCTGTCGGAGTCCAACTCGAGTGTGTGGACCAGTATTTATTGCCGCGGCAAGGCTCCCAATACATCGTACAAAGGACCGTCTGCAGGCATTGCGTCTGTGGCGGGTACCTTTCTTGCATGACTGTCCCGTCATTTTGTTCATAGAAAAAAAAAAAGACTTTCAGCCTTTGCATTTAGGCGGAGAACGACCAGAGAAGGTTTGTAGTATGGTGGGAATGAAGTAACGGCCTTCCGCAAGTCGGCAAGCCAGAGTGGAAAAGCTGGAAAGGTTTCCGCCATTTATGAGCGACGGCCAGCAAACAGACAACCGGAAAACACAACACTATGGACAGCTACCGCCATCTATGAGCGACGGCGGAAACCAGAGTGTTGTGTCGACCACAGGAGTCGACAATTGTTCGGTACCGGACACGATCCTGGGGAACCTAGCACTACACAACTCCGCTGTAAAAAAAAAAAAAAGAAAAAAAATACTATTTACATGTTTAGGGCATCGATATGTCAGAAGCAAACCAGCATCGAGCATGATGTAGGCTTTTCCACGGATAATAATACTGTCATCATGTATGAAGCGAACACAGCGTATTTTGTACTATCAATGAGCAATGTGACTGTGGCTTTAGTGTGCAAAGCCCTCTACCCTAAACACAATTTGCCACCAAAGTTCGTTTTTTACTCACTACTTTGAAATTGAGCGAGCAAATCTGCAACGTGTATCATAAAGCGTTCCGTCATTGCGATTTTGTTTTCTTTGTTGTTCTTTCAGGTTCCTTCCGGAGAACGTGGCCTTGCAGCACACCATGGCCTACCAGCCCTTCGGCCAGGGACCCCGCAATTGCATCGGCAAGAGGCTGGCGCTCCTTGAGACCATCTACACGGCGGCACGGATGGTGCACGAGTTCCGCTTCGAGCTTGGAGAGTCTCAGAAGGTATGCGGAAGCAAGGAGCTGATATTTAGTCCGTAGTTTTTTCGGTATATGTTAAGTATAAGAGAAATTCGGCGGATGATTTTCTATTTTTATGTATCGTTCGAATATCGGTGGCTTTCGGTAATCAGTCTGGGACGGTCGCTAAAAATGGTTATTTCCTGGTAAAAAACAAAAATCTCTTAAAAACACTTACAGTCTGAAATGGGAAGGCTTCGACGAAATTAGTCCTGAACAAAAGTTTCCAGGAATCAGTTTTCGGCTTTAACGAATTTTGAGTTTTTTAAACGAACGGATGCTTAGATTTTGTTTGTTGTATGTGATTTGGTATTTTTTACACCGATGAATGTTTATTTGTGTTTTTCGGTGGAAAGCGGAAATTCTACGGTTTAGTTATGCTAGGCATGGGAGGTGTCGTTCGTATACTTTTATATAGGGCGGTTTCACGTGACGTTCTTTCAAACCGAAACTCGCCGGATGCCATGCTAATGAATTTTCGCGGTATGTCTTTGACTGCTGAGCGCGCATCATTGTGCTGCGTTAAGACCTGTTCATCCATACAGCGGAGCGCTAAGTCAGTGCCACGTGGGCGCTCGAAAGAGCGCTCATGTAGGGCTTCCCAATGCGTGACTCAGTTCTAATATAGCGCGCGATTAGCACTTTTGGGGTTTTTTGTGTATGTTTAAACAGCCGAGAACTTAGTGTGCTTCAACGGGCGACTTGTCTCCTAGCTGTAGATGAGCAATTTAGCTAGCGCAGTACATCCGCCAGTCTGGGGTCTTTAACGTGCACCACGCAGTAGTGATACACGACCGCACGAGGGTACGATGCTCATCCACTACAAAACGGGCAGGGGTGGGGATTGAACCCAGGATTTATGGGTTCTGCAGCGCGAGCTTTCGCTCCATGTGCTCCGAGCTGCATGATGCGCGCTAGCCGACTGGGCCACCGAGCCCTCCGATTAGAATTTTAGTAGCGCCTTGTTAGCGCTTCTGTAGCGCCTTGTTAGCCCTTGTTGTACCGCGGTTACTGCTGCGGATTAGAGCGTGCACTGCGGTTCCGGTTCCTGTCGTTAGGTGTGCATCAGAAGCACCATGACGGACAAGTGGGACGCTGGAATTGAAACGCTACGAATGCTGTTGCATACGCAATGAGTGTATATATGTATGGACGGCTTAAAATCCAGAAGAGTCTTCTGGGTGCGCGAAATCTTTCGCCACCGAGATACAGACAGGTTCCTAGCGAACTTGTTCCCAGGTTGAGGGATCGAGACACAAAGCTCTTTCGATGGTGATTATTTTATTGACTGTGTGTCTCTAAACCAGGGTCACGCGTGTCGAGTAGACAGCGATGAGTTCGTACCCAATCAATCAGTCGCTCAAAGTTCATGACTCTGGATCGTCCGCCCGACCATTTGCTTGGAGAGCAGCTCTTTTACTTTCTCTTCTTTCACCACCAAAGGAAAGACAACAAAAATGGAATCGCCATGCCCGCACTGTTCCGCAGCAACAAGCACGGCACAAGGACCGTGAGAGCACAAGGATCGTGAATACACTGCGCTGCTGAAGCGCTGATAAAGCGCTGATGAAGCGCTGACGAAGCGCTAACCGAGCACTACGTCACATGAGCGCTGCTTACAGTGCTCATGAGGCGCTAACTTAGCACTCCGCTGTATGTGTGAACAGGCCCTTTGGGTGGAACATATCTATCTCTTTCGGGGTAAAGAAATACTTTGTTGCATTTAAAGGCCAGCTCGTGACCAGCTTTCGCATTGAGTGCGAGAGGTAGAATATATAGCCTCTAAATCATTAGCCAAGGCTACGCGTTCGACCTGAATCACACCAGATTGCGCGCACTTCAGAAGACATTAAAAAAAGAAGACGATCGGACGAAAACATGGCGGAGATGTCACCACTCACGAAAATGCGGGTGTGTGTATGAAGGCACTCTATGCTGCCTTCTCTTTTCAGCTTACAAAAGTATTCTCGAAAATTTTTTAATGTCAGCTCGTATATAAATGCTAGAACAGAAAATTTGTGATAAAATTTTTAATAAAAACACGCAAAGCTACACTCTAAAAAATATTTCAGCGAATTCTTATGCAGAGCACGGAGACAGGCGAATACCGCGCGAGGAATGAAATCATGCAAGAAAATTACAAAGCTAAGAATACGATCAGACACAAAAAAGAGTGTAGTGCGCATGACGTTTCCCTTGCCCGGAGTTTCTGCTCAGATGGAATTCTTGATTTAATTTATTTAATTTATTTCTTACCTACAATTCGCCTATGTAGCATTATCGTATAGGGGGGGGGGGGTTTAGACATTAACATGCACAAATAGAGAATACATATCAATGATCTGCTACACCAGCGACGCACACTGCACCAGCGAAGGACACAAAATAAGCAACAAAAGCATTAATTAACATCGCATCATCGAAGCACGGTACTCACACAAAAAATCATTCAGTTACCACTTCATTATTTTATATTCATACAAGTGAATTTTAGTTATAATCGTATTCCAAGCTTCTCAATTCGCTGGGATCCCTTTATCCTTCCTCGTGACTGGCAATTCCCATGCTCTGCAAGGAAGTAAAACCATAAATCGTTTCTCTTTTTTAGATTGTACTCACCCTGCGCTCGAGCGCCTTCTAGGGTTTTGCGGGGAAATGTAGCTGCTTTGAAATGGCGTCTGATGTCACAGTTGTAGATTGGGGATTTGGCCGATGAAGTACTACCGGTAACAGTACTAGTGATTATGGGACCGTGCGCCGGTACAATGCCCATTGATATAGAAATGAATAGGTGGACGAATCGAACCCATGCGGCGAGAAACTGATGGAGAGGAGGAAACGACCGGGCGAGGGGGTCTCAGAACGCCGAACTCCGACTGGAATGTTTAGTGGGTAGACGTAAAGTCGGCTGCTTTTGTCTTCACTCACTCTTCGAACGTGAACGCGGAACGCTGGATGCCGGCGTCTGGCAGTCAAACGCGTTCGAGCTGTAAGTAGAGACAAAGGGAGGGGCTAGCTTTACGTGTATCCACTTATCGTTCCAATCAGAGCTCCGTGTTCTCCTCTCCTTTCCTCCTCTCCTTCAGTTTTTTTTTTACGTAAAGCAATGCTCTTCATTTCTGGGCGTGTGCATATTTGCGTCAGCAAGATAAAAACTGCGACGCAAATGGCGCACAATAGTAAATGCGATAGCCTTTCCGGGGCCAAACCCTCCACACCTTTCGGGTCCGCCTGTGCGCTGTAACCACCGAAACAGGTGGCACGTATTTGTTTAACTATACCTACTTCAATTATGCATACAGGGGATAATGCTCCCAACGAATGTGAAGTGTTATATTAGATTCTGGAGGGCAAATGCCGTTATTAAAGGCCTTATTATGTTTCCATAGATATTGTGGGAAAGAAACAATGGAATTGTCGGATTGCTACAACAAAGCTCGTTGGTTTCCTGCGCGGATTCCATCCGCGAGAGATAGGGAGTTGAATTAGAATATAGTGTGAACGATTTTACTTACGCTTGCAGAACTTATGGACGTCGACTAAAAAGATTTGTGGAGTTTCCATAGCAGTTTTCTAAGCTATTTAGTAAAGAAGCGTTTACCCGGTATGGAGACGCTGCTTATTGAAATCGCATTTCAACGACCATCTGCGCAGAAATTTCGGCAACATTTGTTTTAAGGCAATTTTTTTTTCTACAGTACTTTCTTTTTCTTGCACGTATCCTTGAAATCGCATCTCTTTGTTGCTTTCCATCCCCCTGATACAGGAAAAGAACGAAATGATGTTCTACTCCATGGTCTGCGAGCCCAAAGATGGACCCTGGATCAAGTTCACCAAGATCGCGGACTCGACGTCATGATTTGGCCTGTGTCTTCATTGTTAGAGTGGCTGTAACGACACGCACACACACACACACACACAAGCGAAATGTGGGGACAAAACTACGACTTCTTGCAAACGGACGTCTCTTTCTGGGTTCCGAGTGGAATCGGAACTCTCTTTCGTCAAATCCCCGTCCCATCGAATGACGGCATTTTGTATCGTGGACTGGGCCAGTAATCATTTGTTTGCTATTCTAAGGCCAGAAGAAGAAGTTGTTCCCTGAGTAATACATATAAATAGTAAATACAATGAAGAAGCCACGGAAGGCACAATAGCCTGGTGTAAGGTGTCTCTAGAAGACACTGGAGCCATTAAATGAGCTGCGCTTAGAGTATCGGCACTCTGTTCCCCGACATTGTTGTGGGCGCCACCATTTTTGCTCGTATGTAGAGCAGACGCAACTGCCGATCGTTATGATACAAAAGTGCGACTTCCTCGGCATTAGTTTCGGTGTCAGGAAGCTCACGTAATATTGCTCTGCTTTGTCGCGAACTGTTTAAACATTTGTGGAGGACAGAAAAGCGTTTCCTGTGATTTCAAATAAAGCTCCAGATAACAGACAACCATCATTTTAAGCACCAAGATGTGTATAAAGCGTAGCTTGTTTAGTGGCTCTAGTTTAGCTCGACCGCAGAGGCACAGAAAGAGAACGAGCAGCTTAACCTCGCGCTTTTGGCGCTGCTTCAGTGGCTTCATCAGCCCGCAGCGTTTGCTGCGCTCCGAACTAAGGTAAAGCAAAGCAAATATTCAGATCTTAGGGGAAGGTCATGCAACATTGCTTTGCTCTGTCGGGAGCTGTTTAAGCATTTCTGGAGGGCGGAAAAGCGTTTTCTGTGATTTCAGATAAAGCTTCGGGTAACTGGCAACCATGATTTTAAGACACAATATGGCCAAGTGTCGGTGCTCTGAAGCGTAGCTTATTTAGTGGCACTAGAAGACACCGCAGTACCTATTGTTCAGCCAGAGCCAACGTTATCACTGGACCAGGGGAGCAATAAAATATCGTTTAAACGTGGACGTGCCTGGTCTAATTTATATGTCGCACCTGCTGAGCTACAGTACCGCAGTCACACTGTTTACACACCATACAAAATACCGTCTGCAGACAGTAGAGAGTTTTAGGGAACCATTTTTGTACACCCGATATGGTATAATAGGCCCTCCGGTACGCACTGCCAATGTGCGTGTCTTGTGCGGTAGCATCTGCGCAGTTTGCACCGGAGGTGTCCATCGTACCATATCGGTTGCGCAAAAACGGTTTTCTAAAACTCTATATTGCCTGAGGCGCTTTTCTCCGTCGTATCACGGTCCCGTATTGTCGGTAATACAAACATAACTGTGTTTAGAGATGTTAGAACCAAACCTATGCACAAAGCAAGCATGTTTCGAAGGTGCTCGAGGCGTGACGTAAATTTCGAGCTTGGAGCGCTTCACAGGGCTACAAGTCGGAGGACGTCGCGATCCGAAAATCTGGGAGTGCCCGACTTCGACCAGCCGAAAGGGCATCGGCTTTTCAGAGTGCTCCACAACGCTGCAAAGCGACCCGCCGAATATGCCATTAGTAAAACTCGCCCTGCTGAAACATTCGATATTACGTTAAATGGAATAAAGGAGCGTGAGCGCTAGTAGACCAATGTCTGCTCTGTTCCATGGGCACCGGCATGTTTCTTTATGCTGACGCCACGACACTGCAGGGGTGCTGCGCTTTTTGCAGGACTTCGTTTTTTTAGAAACCTTCGCACATATCGTAGTGCAAGAACGTCAGAAATGCAGAGTCACGAAGCCCCAAGAACAACACCGATGCGTAGAGTGCTGCAAAGCGCAAAAATTTCGTTTTATGAGCAGTCCCTCTCTTCATAAGAGCCTGCCCCTACTGCCGAGGTAGTGGCCGACGGCCGAGCGCGCGCTCTCGTGAAATGGCCGCACCGTGGTGCCGCGCTGAGCTCGGCCGTGCAGCCTCTCCGGAGTTTGTCCGGGCGGGCTGTGCGGACAGGCCCGCACCTCTTACCAGCGACCGGGCCGCTGCGTGCGCTGCGCCGCCATAGAAACGGCTTCTCGGGTGGCGTCCCTTGGAACTACGCCGCGCGAGAGCCAACGGGGGCCTCGTTTATTGATGACGTGCGCCAGCCAATAGGATCCTATTCATCAGATCGCGGCTTCACTTCACTCCATTGAGAAAGGGGAGTTTAGATGCCGTTTGGCGCGGCTTCAAAGCTAATGACTGTAACGCGAGTTATGATCTGTTTCACTGCTCACATGTTCTGTATATATTATCTTGCTCCTGGCAATAAACGTTCTTTCGTCACTTGACACGCAACAGACTACAATGACGTCGGTACTCTCCATGGGCAAATCAAGGCTTTGGCATTTATAAACCCCGAAAAAGCACCCCCCGAATCGAAGAAGAAATAAACCACGAAAAGACGGAACCCTATAGAGTTATAAGTTATAACATTGTCAGACTTATTTGAAGCCATATGAAAGAATGATGCGCACAAATGAGTAAATCTGCGAAAATATGTTGTGTTCCACAGGTACACGATAGATAGCGCCAGTGTTATCTCGTCTAAAGTGGTTTAAATCTCCTCGAAGAAAACCACGCTTCGCGTTTCTTGCAAGTATCGACAACCATTGTTCTGCGAATGCGTGACACACGTGTCACAACCGAGTTCTACAATGACATTCGCTTCCAAGGCCCGGCACCAGGTACGAGCCTCGTGCATTGGCACATATAATTCTACTTGTAAGACAAACACATCAAGGGGCTTTAATTTTTTTCTTGAGTAACTAAATATGGCTCCGCAAGCGTAGTACAAAGAGCGTGCTCGAAAAAGAAATTGACGGCGTTTTTGTTTTCATTGCAAAGATATATTACGCATATCGCCGAAGGCTCAATCTCGGCCGAAATGTATCGCTAGCGGCCCGAACCACCTGCCAAGGCTTCAGTACTAGCCGTTATCTCAATTAAAAGTTACAGGTGATTTTCTGCAAATTTTAATGCGATAATGGGGACCATTTTTGCTCATTTTCATGAACTGGCGCTATAGAGCTACGATAGAGCTTTATATATATTTGAGAACCCCGTCGGGCCACCATTTTTTCTATTCAAAATTTAAGAACCTCACTTGTAACTTGTGATTAAGTTGGACCCTGGCTGAAGACGAACCCGGGCACCAGGCCCGGGTTCGTCTTCAGCCAGGGTCCACGTCGTAACCGAGGACCCGCAGATTTTCGACGTGTGGCAGACGAGTAAGCCTCCATCGTCCGTGCCACCTTACTTGGTGTCTGTCAAAATCTGCGGCCACCCCATCACCATGGAGCTGGACACCGGGGCCAGCGTGTCGGTCATGCCCGGGAAGCTGTTCAAGCGGACCTTCCCCGGCGTGCCCATCGAGGCGTCTGACGTCATGCTGCGCAGCTACTCCGGGCAGCTTTCCCAGGTCCAGGGTCGGGCCCAAGTCAGCGTTCGCCTTGGCGACAGGGAGGCAATCCTTCCCCTTTATTTAACCAAGGGGTCGTCGCCGACGCTGCTGGGCCGGAACTGGATTCACTCGCTGGGTGTTCGGCTGCCGGAGTACCAGGAAGCTGCGCTGCACGTGGTGAAGGACGTCCCGAGCCTCCTGACCGACTTCCAGTCCCTGTTCCAGCCGGGGGTGGGCACCTTTGCCGGCACGACAGTCGGCATCCACATACCCGAGGGAACCCGGCCTCGATTCTTCAAGCCGCGTCCGCTGCCGTTCGCCCTGAAGGACGGGGTCACCCAGGAGCTGCAACGGCTGCAGCGAGAGGGAATCCTGGTGCCCGTCAAGTCTTCCGAGTGGGCCGCACCGATTGTGCCAGTCCTCAAGCAAGACGGCCGCGTCAGGATCTGCGGGGACTTCAAGGTCACAATCAACCCCGTCGCTACCGTCGAGAAGTACCCGCTGCCTCGGGTAGAAGATCTCTGGTCGGCTCTGTCCGGGGGACAGAAGTTCACCAAGCTCGACCTTCGAGATGCCTACCAGCAGCTGGTGCTCCAGGATGCCGCCCGGAAGTATGTCACCATTTCGACAACCATGGGACTCTTCCAGTACACGCGCCTACCGTTCGGCGTGGCCTCAGCCCCAGCCATCTTCCAGAGAGAGATGGACAACCTCTTCAGGGGCATGAGGCACGTGGCGGTGTACTTGGACGACATCCTGGTTACCCGTACCGACGACGGGGACCACCTGCAGAACCTGCGCAAAGTCCTGACTAAACTACAGGACGCCGGTCTCAAGCTGAGGCTGGACAAGTGCGTGTTCCTGACCCCCAGCGTGGAGCACCTGGGACACATCATCTCCCAGGCTGGCCTGGCCCCGGCTCCCCGCAAGATTGAGGCCGTGCTCAAGGCGCCGAAGCCCAAGAGCAAAAAGGAGCTTCAGAGCTACCTCGGCCTCATCAACTTCTACAGGAGGTTCCTGCCCAACCTCTCGACGCATCTGGAGCCACTGCATCGCCTGCTTCGCGATGGGCAGCAGTGGGCCTGGAAGAAGGAGCAGGACTTGGCCTTCCAGCGCAGCAAGGAGCTGGTCATAAAGGCTCCAGTGCTGGTGCACTTCGACCCGGCCAAGCCTGTAGTCCTCACCGTGGATGCGTCGCCGTACGGGGTAGGAGCCGTCCTGTCGCACCGGGGTCAGGATGGTCAGGAATGCCCTGTGGCGTTTGCTTCTCGTCGGCTTCATGCGGCGGAGCAACGCTACAGCCAGCTCGACAAGGAAGGCTTGGCCCTCATCTTCGGGGTCCAGCGCTTCCATCAGTACCTGTGGGGCCGGCAGTTCGAGGCAGTCACGGACCACAAGCCGCTGCTGGGGCTGCTGGAACCTGACAAGGCAGTTCCAGTGCAAGCATCGCCTCGTGTGGTACGCTGGGCCTTGACGCTGGCAGCCTACAGGTACAAGCTGGTCTACCGCCCTGGGAAGGACCTGGGACCTGCAGACGCCCTGAGCCGCCTGCCCCTGCCGGAGGTGCCTGCTGCCGTTCCGGAGCCAGCTGATGTGTTCTTGCTGGAGCGGGCCTACCCGGGGGTGCTCACCAGGACTGCGGTGGCGTAGGCGACCAGCTGGGACCCGGTGCTGTCCCAGGTGGTCAAGGCGGTTGCCCGAGGGGAGGAGCTGCGTCACCAGGCGTACAGCCACAAGACCGCCGAGCTGAGCTTGGAGCAAGGCTGCCTCCTGTGGGGTTCCAGGGTGGTAATTCCACAAAGTCTGCGGGCCAAGGTGCTGCAGCTTCTGCACGCGGGGCATCCTGGCATTGAAAAGACTAAAATTGTGGCACGGTCGCACGTTTGGTGGCCTGGCTTGGACCAGGACATCGTGCACCAGGTGCAAGGCTGCCAAGTCTGCCAGGAGAACCAGCGAGCCTCGCGCCACGTGGAGATCACCCCCTGGCCGTTCCCACAGAGGCCGTGGTCCCGCTTACACGTGGACTATGCGGGACCTTTCAAGGGCCACTACTTCCTGGTAGTAGTGGACGCCTTCTCCAAGTGGGTGGAGGCACTGCCAGTAACCAGTCCATCGGCAAGCGCGACCATTGCGGCTCTGCGGCAGGTCTTCGCGGCGCAGGGATTGCCGGACATCATTGTGTCCGACAATGGTCCCGCTTTCGCTAGCGCCGAGTACCTCGACCGGCTGCAGAGGAATGGGATCCGCCGGATGCTGGTTCCGCCGTACCACTTCGCTTCCAATGGTGCAGCTGAGCGGGTGGTCCAGACCCTCAAGAACAAGCTGAAGAAGAGCCAGCCCGGGGATTTCCGTACTCAGGTGGCCCGGGTACTGTTTCAGTACCGGACCACACCGCATGAGGTCACTGGCCGTGCCCCCTGCGAGCTTCTGCTGGGCCGGATGGTCAAGACCCCCCTGGACGTCTTGCATCCAGACCTCCGGTCCACGGCGCTCCTGAAGCAGCTGAAGCAGAAGCTGGCTGCTGACCGAGGGTGCCGTCCCGGGCCTTTGCCGGAGCCGGGAGCGTCGGTGTACGCCAGGAACTTCCGTCCTGGC